ATACTGTTTATATTATCAAATCTAGCCCTTCATACATTGTACACAGGGTTTAATATACTTTGTAAAAACGTTTTGCTTATGCTGTTGTTGTGGAATGCCACCACTTTGGCGAACTGTATTTTACAGTCATGTATTTACTATGATTGTTACAAAATGTAGAATCACAGGACAACATTTCGAATAATATAGCATTTAATGTTCCTCATGGAAGAAGAAAAATCTCATTTAGCAGCGCATTTAAGACCTCAACTGATCCAGAAACAACATACAACGCTAATGCACACGTCACTAGTGGGTGAACTGTTGTTATAAAGAACTTTGGCTATAACACTAAACATATTTTTGAACATACAGTTCGTTTAAAAGTGAAATTTAGATTTTACAGGGAAAAAGAAAGACAGAATTTTGTAGTTGTACAATATAATAGCATTAGATTGAAATTAGGGGCTTTACTGAACCTGTTAGAATAATATAGTTTTTCCCCTGAAAACCGTGAAGTATTTTCTGTGGGGCCGTCGAAAATGGGCCGAAAACAAAAATGGAACTATGTTGAATTAAACAATGATACAGTATGTTGAAAGGATATGTTATTGTTTTTACTAAGGCACTGTTTTTCAGTCACAATATTAAAGTATTGTTTTTCAATCACAATATTAAAGTATTTGGGGGAGCGAGACTCGACAGAGTGCTGACTGATTGTATTCACACTTAAGCACCTATAACGTAACCGTAAGACAGGTTAGTCTACATTTGCTATACTTTTCATAAACTGTTAATAATAGTGGTAAAAGTAGGCCAGTACGGTGTACCACTATGAAATATTTGGAATTTTGTGTTTTTTCAATTACTAAAATGTCTAATACGACAAACAAAACAAATTTCCTGTTGTTTTGTTTGATAGATTTACAAACATACAAGTTAATAGAAAAAGTACTTAATATATATCATTAAATTTCATTAATAATTACTTTTTGAAATTGATAAATCACATTTTAAGTTATTGTAAACAGTAAATATTTATTAACCTTGTGAAATTAGTAAAGTAGAAATGATCATGAAACGAGTTTAAAAGGTAAAATTTGTAAGGTTTGAATTGTTACTGTTTTGAATTACTTTCCACCACTACTATAATATGATAAAAATATCTACTTACAAAGTCCGGTATTATTTATTTCTTTTTAGTGTAAAAAGGATTCCGGCAAAAAGTATAAGTTATTTCAATAAATACGTTTTACTCATCACACAACGTATAACACACATAACCCATGAAACACAGTTAGTTCACTAAGATGGAAACAACTTTTTGACAAATCATATTCACTAGCAGAGACCCGCAAACATTTGGTTAGTTCACTAAGATGGAAACAACTTTTTGACAAAACATTTCCGGTCAAATTAGTATCTTTATCGTAACAGTACTTCTTTAAATATAACATTTCTAGCACAATACAAACGAATTGTAATCGTCGACAACGAAATGTGCAAATCTACTTGTATATAAGCCGTACTTTATAAAACTTTAATTTATTTTAGGCCTATGTTCGATAAAGAGATAAATTAACACTGTAACCTGTGTAAGTTTTTTGTTTTTTGACTTTAGTTTAGTTAGGACTAAACTTTACTGTACTTAATACTATCGATAAATAAACTTATAATGTTATTCTACGACCTAACCTCAAACCTTTCTTAAAAACTTATTAAAGTTTTTAATATACTGTTGTACAAAATGGTTAGTAAAGTATATTTACATTCCCCTTTTGTTGTTACTTCTTGTTTCATACAGCAATTGTAGCAACTTGATCACTAAGCTTTACAGCTCTCTGCCGCAGGCAGACTGTTTGCCGTTGAGTGAAAAATGTGCATGTGCGATTTTTCTTGGGGAAACATTCTAGCTACACATGCTTGTGCAGCAGGTTCTCAGTCAGAAAGCATAACGGTCGTACATACAAACAAGCAGAATAATAGTACATATAATATAATGGGAATACTGCAATTTGGATATATTTTGAGAATACTGAAAATTGGAATATTTAAGTTCCTGGTTTTTTAAAAGTGGGGTGAGACTTTTTATAAGGGTTAATCTGCAGCCTGTTAGGATTCAAGACAAAATGTT